GTTGATCCTCAGAGTGTGAGAAACTGATTTAATGGGGCATGTCCTCCAGTTCGGATATCCAGTACGACATGCTAGCAAAACACTAGCCATTATTATATCTTAACTACTATTTCTCCAAAGAACTGTATGCGCCATGCATAAGAATAGGAGCAAACCCATTATGTGAGTTAATTAGGTAGACTGAGGCACTGTGACTGGTCCAAGGTCAAACACTGCAGCTGCCAAGGTGTTAAACTTGAGTCTCCGGTCTATACCACATTGGCAATTCAGTGTGAATTTAAGGCAATGGCATTCATTTTTAGCTTTCAACCATATCAGGACCAGCCCAAGACATGAACTAAGATTAGCAACCCCTCCAAAAACAAGCAAACAAAAAAATCGTTCTTCAAGTGCACGTGTAGCAAAACATACAGAAAAGAAATAGTGGCCCACCTACTCATTGGGGATGGGAACATGGTAGCAGATAATGAAGAAAAGGCACTCAGATACTCATATCCTACTTTAGCTGTGTTTTCTCTTCTAAGACAATTTATGATCCTCCTGCTAAATGTGAAGTACAAGTGTAGGGGACAGGATTGCATCTTGAGATTAATAAACAAATAGTTCAGAAATACGTTATTATTTTGAACAAGTTCAAATTTTCAAGGCCTGATGAACTACATCCAAAAGTATGGAAGGAATTGGCTGAAGAACTCTCAAAATCATCATCATCATCATCATCATGATCATCATCATCATCATCATCATGATCATCATCATCATCATCATCATGATCATCATCATCATCATCATCATCATCATCATCACCACCACCACCACCTGGGAACTACAGACCAGTCAGCTTGACATCACTCCCACATAAATTTCTGTAACAAATTATACAGCAGTCACTCTACAAGCACCTTGAAAAAAAAATGCAGTAATAACTAGAGGCCAACATGGACTTATGAAGAACAAAGCCTATCAGACTAATCTTATCTCATTTTTTCTGACCAGGTAACATCTCAGGTAGATGATAGGAATGTTGTACATGCAATATATCTGACTTCAGCAAAGCATAGCTACAAGATGTGAGATACTTGGTTTGTTAATACTATGTAAAAGAAGAATCTTGGAATTGTTGTAGATCACAAATTGAATATGAATCAACAGTGCTGTGTGGTCCATATTCCATTTCTGAAGAAACAGTTCAAAAAAAAAAAACCACGCAAATGCTATTTTAGGTTGCATTAACAAAAGTATAGTCTCTAAATCCCATAAAATAGTAGTTCCCTTCTATTCAGCTCATCTACTGTGTCTAGAAATGGAATACGTTTAGAGGAGGGAATCAAGGATGATCAAAGGACTGAAAACCAAAGCTGATGAGGAAAGACTGAAAAAATGGGGCTTGTTTGGCCTTGAGAAAAGTAGACTATGGGGAGATCTGACAGAACTTTTCAAATACTTGAAAGACTGTCATACAGAGGAGGAGCAGGATCTGTACTCAGTCACTCCGTAATGCAGAGCATGTAGTAATGGGCTTAAGTTAAAGGAAGCGAGATTTCAGCTGAATATCAGGAAAAACATCCAGCTGTTAAAGCAGCATGACAATGGAACCAGTTATCTCAGGAAGTGGCGAGCACTCCAGTGCTGTAGGAATTCAGGAGAAAGACAATCATCTGCTAGATACATTTTGCTTTGGATTCCTGCATTATGCTGTAGGAATTCAGGAGAAAATTAGACAATCATCTGATAGATACATTTTGCTTTGGATTCCTGCATTAAACAAGGAGTTGGACTTGATGGCCTTATAGACTCCTTCCAACCTCTCTCTCTCGTGATTTGGATTGCTATATGAATCTTTCTTCAAGATAGGCAATGGGACAGTGGCTTCTATGGTACTTGAAGACCATCGGTTAGCTTGAAGGGGTGCAGGCCAGGCCAAATTGTGCTCAGTCTCTCATCCCACATCTTGCTACCTCATTCTTTTAGTAGAGAAGCTCACCCTAAGCAATACTTTTTAAAGTCATTATTTTTCCATAGTGAAGCTTCTTTATTGAAATTAATGTATGAGCACTGAAATTCCTCATGTTACCTCATACATGCTTTCTCTTCCAGATATTTCAGCCCAGCCCTGATCCTCCTGGGACTTCTCACTGTCACCAATTACATGGCTCTCTTCGTTTCTCATCGGGCTTTGTACCTTCATACGGCTTGGTTACGTAAGAAGAGCAAAGTAGATCTCTGGCTGGTCCGGATCTTAGTATGCTTATTTGGCATTCATTACAAAGGTTGAACTATGGGGATGTGGGGCTGTGTTTCACAGACTGTTTCAAGAACTGTCTTCTCTCAGGGAGAATCTAAGAGAGGCCGTGTGACAGGAATTAGGTGAGGCTTAAGCCCATACTGCACAAACTCAGAACCAAATGTGGATAAGGCCAGACTTTCACTCTTGTGCTTTCTGCTGACCCCATTTTCTCTCTGCCTTTCTCCTTTCTAACACCCGTCCCGCCAGTATCTATTTCTTTCACTCCTTTCCCTGGTGATGCTGTTGAGAGAACAGATTGCTCTTCCCAGAAGTCTGAGCTAAATGGTACCAGATGGCTTCCAAAATTAGGTCAAGGATTGAAAATTGCCTACCCCTGACCTAGGGAGACAGTATTCAGATGTAATGTGGCCAAATAGTGAACAAAGCCCCTGTATGAGATTTAACTGAATCAGAGTGGATACTCATTTCAATATCCCTACCTAATATTTCAGTTCCACCTGTGGCCCAGAGCTGTAACTAGGGTGAGGCAACCAGAGTTTTGACATAGGGCACAACAATATTGCTGCTGGAAAGGCACACACATACTGTTGGCGTTCGCTGCAGGAAAGATGCACATCCCACTGGCCCTGAGAGGATATTCGCCATCCGGATGCTCCTCTCCAGGAAGAAGGAAACAGATGGGATCTGCATGGTACCTAAAAGGCCATCACAAACGGAGAATGAGCTGTTTCTCCCGTTCCTCCATGTTCTCTCCACACATGCCTCTTGTACACGATCTGTGTTTAACCAATAAGTCAGTAGAGCGCTGAGCACCAGAAATGGTAGTTATGGCCCTATTATGGCCTGAGGATCAGCATGCTTGACCAGTCTGCAAAGTCACAAACTAATTTCCCTGGGGCCTATGTTAACACGAGAAGGCCATTCTTATTTCACAGGAATGCTTAAAATAATCTGCCAGTTCCTTGACTTCCTAATTACTGCAGCCCTGTAGAACTACATGGTTATACTGTACACACATCCTTTGTTCAGGTAGCTATCCATGTGCGTCACAGGAGTGCTTAAAATTATCTGCCAGTTCCTTGACTTCCTAATTGCTGCAGCCCTGTAGAACTACATTGTTATACTGTACACACATTCCTTTGTTCAGGTAGCTATCCATGTGCGGCTGTCCGCACACAACAACAGAGACCTCTGCCAATGTATCCTTTGAATCCTGTGGCATATCGAGAGAACTTGGGCAAGAGAGAAAGGGTTAATCTCAAGACAGGAGTCTCTTTCCCTTTGAGTTTTCCAAAGCTAGAGCACCAAGTGAGGGGTTTCCTTCCTGGCCCTGAAACCAACAGGATGGGTGACAAGAAAGAGCTCCTCATTTGGAGGTTTTCTGGACTAATTGCAGCCAATCGCACTTTGACTGTCTTTCTCACCTCCCCACTTCCCCACCCTCAAAGAGGACCGTGAAAAGTCAAAACTGCCCAAAGGGAGGTGGACAGGTAATGTGCCCAATGCCGTCCTCCATTTCTTCACTAACCCTATCCGTTAAATCCCCTGTTTCTTCCTGCCTGAAATACCCCCCCCCCAAAAAAACCCTTCATTTGTCCTGATTTGCATCTGTAGTCCATATCATCCCTCTAGATGTTACTGGGCTAGCTTGGATGGCAGCATAGACGTTTTGTCACTCTGAGGGCTGTTCCACACCCCAAATTCTGCTTTCTCTTTCTAATACATCTCCACTCCATCCTTCTAGCTAAACTTGAGAAGGAGAGAAGGCAGGACCCTGATACAATGGGGAGGAGCATCAACATTAAAAATCAAGGAACCCTGTTCTGTCGGTTGAGCCAAGGCAAACAACTACCAGAGGGATGCGGGATTTGGATAGTGCTACCTCTGGAGGAAAGACCAATTCAGGATGGGAGGAACAGGGGTATAAAAAATATGGGCAACAACCCCTCTAGGGCCATCCTTTTGCACGGAGAAAAAAATTAAGACAAAGAATGAGACTCAGTTCAGATAGATGTCACAGCAAGCCTGGCTCCTGAAGAACCACTTTCCCTCTGGTGAGGAAGGAGTTTCCTGATAAAAGAGTCAGGGAGTTTGTGCTCATTATTATTCTGTATGTCTTGAACAGCCTTTGGTCTCTCCTGGGTTAATGCAGAGATAGAGACTTTGACGCTATTTAAAAGGTCCACAATTTTAGAATATGTTTATAACATAGCACACACAAGCAGCTCGCTGCTGTAGCTAAAAGGGTGACTCCTCTTTCTCAGAGGAAGGAGTAACACAGAGTGCCATGGGGACATCCACCATGCTACCGCCATAGAGTTTAGCCACAAAAATTGAGAACAAAACGCATTACAGGTGGTTTCGCTCCGGTGTGCAACAACATACAAGCCATGTTTTGGAATGCAGCACTTCAGGCAGGCTCTTGGCCCCTTCCAGTGGTGCTATGAAACTGCAGTAACTTTAGGTGAGGTCGTTGTTGTGCTGCATACGGCTGCTCATTATTTTCCTCTCCCCTTTTTCTTTGATTTCTGTATATGATAGGTGCAAAATGGAATTGCTGTATATGCCACTTGGACCACAATAGCCACCCTCCTGAACTTTACAGTTGTTCTGATCTATGATGGGTTTATATCCAATAAGGCTGCAACCATCATCTCTCTGTGCATCTTTTTCTTCGAGCTGATAGTCTGGTAGGTAGTGCTGTAAGACCAGACCTGGACTTCATAGACCTCTCTCTCTCTCTCTCTCTCTCTCTCTCTCTCTCTCTCTCTCTCTCTCTCTCTCTCTCTCTCTCTCTCTCTCTCTCTCTCTCTGTGTGTGTGTGTGTGTGTGTCTGTGTATCTCTGTGTGCGCACGCATGCTCTCTCTCTCTCTCTCTCTCTCTCTCTCTCTCTCTCTCTCTCTCTCTCTCGTGTATGCATGAATGTGTGCATGTACACGTGCACACACAAACACACACAAATCCATGTATGTAAGAGCCTGATCCCATTACTAAAAAAACCCTCTATTTAAATTGAGTTTAGCATGTTTTAGAGCAGTTTAAAATTGGGTGCTTACACAAGGTATTTGCAAGTGTGGATTAATTTGAAAGGGATCGTGTCTTTTTTTGTGCATCAGCAAGTCTTTATATTTCTCCACCAGAGGACTGTTTATTTCACCATGGAATCAATTCATTGACATCGATTTGACAGATGTGAACACCCCTTTCCATGTTATTTTTAAAAATCCATGCTACCTAATACAACCCTAAACCAGATACCAGGAATTAAAAAATAAAAACAAAAACATTGCCATCCCTTGTGTTATCAGCTACCCATAAGGAAAAACAGTTGGGGCTTTGAAATGCATGTGTGCTTACACACAAAAAACACATTGGGATTCCAAGGGCAGAAGTACAAATGGAAAATGAGAGGCATTCAGCCTACAAATAGAGAGAAGGAGGGGGAATCCCAATGTGGTACATGTGTGTGTGCGTGCGTGCACTTGTTTGCCAACATTTCAAAGTCCTGACTGTTTTCCCTTGTGGGACATCATTATTTGAGATGCATGCGTACATGCTCACACCCACACCACACACTGGGATTCCCTCGCCCCCATAATTCACACATCAGAATAAGTCAATAACAGGATTATCACTACCTCCCCTCACTTTTCTGTCTGTAGTTTTCTCACACAAAACCATAAAAAGATCACAGAGGCAGGACCAGAGGAAGGAAGGAAGGAAGGAAGGAAGGAAGGAAGGAAGGAAGGAAGGAAGCAAGCAAGCAAGCAAGCAAGCAAGCAAGCAAGCAAGCAAGCAAGCTAGCTTAGCTAGCTACTAGCTAGCTGTGGACTAGAATGTTACTCCCATTGCACCAAGTATGATTGGCAAACTCTCATATTAATCCACAGCTCCGGTGAGAACACTGATCGTGATTTCAGACACAATACAGGCTACAAATAAAATAACAGCAAAGCTGAATGTTCCAATTCAGCTCTCCAACATAGCCACATCCACAAACACTTTCGTAGTATAGTCTTTACATTAGGAAACAGATGTGTTCCGACAGAGTCCCTCAATAACACAAGCTTAGAAGGTAACAAGATAAAACAAGTATTTTAAAAAGGGCCATCAGTGACGTTCAGAATGCTACATCACCTGTTAATTAAACTATTTGTCTTCTGATCATGGTATTTCCTTAGAGATGGATTCATCAGAAATCAGATCTGAAAAGTAATACATTTCTGTTTACCTTCCAATTAGCTATCACAAAACAATGTGTTTTAAGTGAAAAAAAAAATAAATGAGGAAAAGCATGTGCTGTGTCAAACAGATGTCTTTCAGCAACTGAGGGAACACTGCTTCTAACTATACGCTAAGCATGTTCTGTAACTCAACTCTGAAACTTCACATAATCAGTTCCAAAGAACTAGTTATGGTATAGTGTTTTGCACAAAACCAAGAAATATTCTTCCAGCACAACTCATTTTTATGGACTAGGCTTTAACCAAAGCATCTGATAAAAGTGTGTTCTGCTTCAGAAAAGCTGGTGTTTCCCACCACATAAAAAAATTGCTTTCTGAACAACAGCTTCCAGAATTCCCCCAGCCAGAATGGTGATTAGAAATTGTATTACTCTTTAAGGCGCTTTACGAGTTATTTGATTATATTAAAATTGGCTGCGAACGTGCCATGCAAAACAGGCCCAGTTCTCCTCACCCTCTCATGCCAGTTGGCTCTGCCTCTCCTGGCCATCCTCCCTCCCCCCCTTGATTTGGACTCCTGCATGGTCAAGTGGGCTCCCCTTGTCAGATCTTCCCCCATCAATCTGTGAGTAGTAGGGGGGGCAAAAAATAGCAGAGGAGGTGGAGGGGGGTTCTCACTGCCCCTTTCATAAAGTGATAGTTGCATGAGTTGACAGATACAAGACTAGGACCTCTGTGCATTTCCCCAGTTCTGGCCTTAGAAGAGTTGGCTTGCAAAGATGAGAGGATGGGCTTTTTATTTCATTTTTAATATTTCTGCCAACAGGTTTTATTTGGAGAACATTGTATTTGATAAGTATGTGCGTTACAACCTCACCGTCTATCCAGTGGCTATTTTAGCATTAAGTGGCATTCTCCAGAAAAATAGTATTTCTTCCTCTCCAGATGCAAGCGTCATAATTACAGGTGAGTCTTCCATAGTCCTAAAATGTTGTTAAACCTAAACCAGATTCTTCACATTATATACGTATTTTACTCCTAGTATTCAGTATGTTCAAGAAGCTGGCCAAAATCAAATCAAATCAAATCAAATCTCTCCTAAAGTGACAGTAGAGAACCAGAATGATGAGACATTTGGCAGAGGTTTTTGCGAATCTGTAACAATAGTCTATCAGTGAATTAGTATAATTTCATTCGTTCGTTCACCCATTCATTCATTCAATTTATACGTTGCCTTTCTCACGACGGGAGGGAATCTAAGGTAGCACAATTGAAAAAAAATAACCTAAAACAATTAAACACAATGTAATATTACATTTTTTTAAAAAATTATTTTAAAAAATAGCAATGCCAACAACATTTAAAATCATAAACACTTCAGACAGGTAAAGGGAAAACGTATATATACAGCCTGGCTAACAAGGAATGTATTGCCTTGTGGAAGCAAAGGAGGAAGAGGTCTAACCTGGCTTTCCCAGAGAGTGCATCCCAAAGGCCAGAAGCAACCACTTAAAAGACCTTTTTTTCTCACATCCTGAGAAAACAAGACAGTGAGGGCCCTGGGACCAAGAGGAAAGCCTCCCTGGGTATCACAGTTACAGACATCTATTCCTGCATCTCTGTCTCTCAGTCCTGCCAACCTCTGTAAACTTGGGTCTCTAGTTTTGCTTTTTACACAAGAGGCCATAAATATCCCTTGGTTAAAGTAGCAATTATGGGGCAAGCATTGAGGAGAATGTGGGGCAGATTTATAACACCTTGTAGTATTTCAGTAGATTGAAATGGCAGCTTTCTCCAGCAGGTTGGGCAGAGGTGGACTGCTTTGTACAGGGGCTCAGAACTTTATGTTGCTTCTGACTGTATTTGTTATTCCGTGGTCACATGGCCAGTGTGATTTAGACACGGAACGCTGTTTACCTTCCCACCGAGATGGTACCTATTTATCTACTCGCATTTGCATGCTTTCGAACCGCTAGGTTGGCGGGAGCTGGGACAGGCGACGGGAGCTCACTCCGTCGTGTGGATTCGATCTTACGACTGCTTGGTCTTCTGACCCTGCAGCACAGGCTTCTGCGGTTTAGCCCACAGCGCCACCATGTCCCACGGGGCAGATTTATAACACATAATATTTCAGTAGATTGAAATGGTAGCTTTCTCCAGCAGGTTGGGTAGAGGTGGACTGGTTTGTACAGGGACTCCGAGCTTTATGTTGCTTCTGACTGTATTTGTTACACCCCCTGCTTCTGTAAGGTAAGTAATAATCAAGGCAAAGTTTGGAGAGAGGGAGGAAAGAACAGATAATGGACAGGAAGGAAGGAAGGAAGGAAGGAAGGAAGGAAGGAAGGAAGGAAGGAAGGAACCCCTCTCACAATATTTTAAAAAGCTGGATTATTTCCCCCAACATCGATGTCTATGTATCCCTATGTTTCAAAAAGTGGGAAATGTCCACAAAGAGAAAAATATTTCCATTCAAAGCAAAATGTTAGGATTGAAACTATACCTCAAAAACCAAAAACTGAGCCCACACTCCCTTCCTCGTTCAAAACATGGGCACATTGGAACATTTTTTTTGTACCGAACTCCACTCCAAGTAAACACAAGAGGCAAGTTATTTTATTTGATTTCCTAAATGAGCAGATGGTGTCTGGGGGATGGGGTCTGTTTACCTTTGATTAAAACCAGTAAACACAATGGTTTCCTGAAATACACAATCAGAGAACTGGACCAGTAAAGATTCTATAACTGTGAATTGGGCTGTGCTCAGATCTGCTCTTATGAATGCGAATTGGTGTAACGTATGATGCTTTTTTTCCTGTTCTTTCACATCACTAGGGGTCTACTATATACAAAGATTATATTATGTTGTAGTGTTTACTTGGAGTGTATGTTAAGGTACAAAACACATGCATTGGTGTATCCATTTTAGAGGGGCTTGATCTTTGATTTTGGAGATACAGCTTCAGTAACAATTTTTGTTCTAAAGAAAACTGAAGGGGTTTCCACCCACCCCTTGGGGAATTGTTATATTTAGAATGCCATTTCTCACAAGAGTGCTTTCTTGTTCAAGGACAGTATAAGTTTGCAAATCATGCTGTCTGCAATATAGCACTGCCTTGTACTAAGAAGGAGCTCATTCCATTCTGAGAATCAAAGCCAACTACAACTCCAGTTTCCAGTACTGGAGAAAACATTCGTTTTAGTAACCATCACATAAAGATTCCAAGGTTTAAAAGAGTAGTTCTTAACCTTTGCCCCTCCAGATGATTCAGGCTTCAAGTCTCAGAGACTCCTGTCAACACAGTCAATGACCAGGGATTCTGGGAATTGAACTTCGAAATATGGGAAGGGCCAAAGATTGGAAATTACTTTATTTATTCATTTTTTCCATCTTTTACTCTGCCCATCTAGAGTCAATGAAGGGCAGCTTACATTCTGAATATAAACAAAATTTAAAACACACAATATCAAACAACATAGAGATAAGCAAAGTCCAAGATGGTAAGACATAGGGAATTAAGAAATGGAAGGGGGGGAAGGCCTGCCTGAAGGACCAAGTCTTCCGCTTATTCTTAAAAAACTCCTAGCAAGGGTGCCAGGTGAATCTCAAGGGGCAAGATGTTCCAGAGGTGAGGGGCCACTACCGAGAAGGCCCAGTTTCTAGTTCTCTCCTTCTGGGCCTACCTCAGGTTCAAGCCCCTCAGCCACCCAGCCTGGCTAGATCGAGCAATACAAGTAGAGCTATGTGGGAGCAGGCACTCTGTCGGGCATCGAAACCACTGGGCTGTAGGAATTAATGAATCACACAAACACACACCTATGGAATGGGACACAGAATGGTCTTCAGTGGGATGAAAAATACCCTGAGATACTCACAGGGCCAGCCCCTCCATTGGGCAGAGTGAGGTGGACACTTCTGGCAGGAGGTTTTACAAGTAGAGCTATGTGGGAGCACACACTCTGTCGGGCATCGAAACCACTGGGCTGTAGGAATTAATGAATCACACAAACACACACCTATGGAATGGGACACAGATTGGTCTTCAGTGGGATGAAAAATACCCTGAGATACTCACAGGGCCAGCCCCTCCATTGGGCAGAGTGAGGTGGACACTTCTGGCAGGAGGTTTTGGTTTCCATGGAAGGGCAACAACTTGTGAGTTAACTAATACATTCACTAATGAAGGTGGCAGATCTGTAAAGAGTGTGCCTCTCTCTCTCTCTCGTTTTCTCCTGCAATAAATAAGGAGCACTTTTAAATTTATTTATTTACCTGTTTCTTTGTTTGTTTAATAGCTGTGCTCCTGCAATAAACAAGGAGCACTTTTAAATTTATTTATTTACTTGTTTCTTTGTTTGTTTAATAGCTGTGCTCCTGGCCGTGACATGTGTCGTACTGTGTAGTCGGCTGGGCCTCATTCTTTGGAGACACAACAAAGAGAAGTTGAAGGAACCGGTTGCTCCAACTGAAGCCCTGTGAATATGACTCCTTCCAATGTGAAAAGAATAATCTGGCTGTCAAAGAATGTCATTAATATTCAGATGGTGTCTTTGAAGCCTGGCTCACCCAACGGAGAAGCAAGATGCACATCCCAGGCAGTGATATTTTACAAAGCAACATGTGTCAGCTGCAGCTGGCTGAATCATGGCTATCCCTTCTCTGTCATCTTCAGAACTATCTTCCATCTTCTGGGTGAGAGTTTGTGGGGCCGGGGGGGGGGGGGGCCCTGGCCATGACATGTGTCATACTGTGCAGTCGGCTGGGCCTCATCCTTTGGAGACACAACAAAGAGAAGTTGAAGGAACCGGTTGCTCCAACTGAAGCCCTGTGAATATGACTCCTTCCTCAATGAAGTCCCTACCAGGAATGTGAAAAGAATAATCTGGCTGTCAAAAAAATGTCATTAATATTCAGATGGTGTCTTTGAAGCCTGGCTCACCCAACGGAGAAGCAAGATGCACATCCCAGGCAGTGATATTTTACAAAGCAACATGTGTCAGCTGCAGCTGGCTGAATCATGGCTATCCCTTCTCTGTCATCTTCAGAACTATCTTCCATCTTCTGGGTGAGAGTTTGTGGGGCCGGGGGGGGGGGGGGAACTTTGAACACCACACAGAAAGTCTTGTGTGTCTTATACACACACTGATCTTGCAGCTCTGATAGTGCTCTCCTTCTGAAGTCACAACTGGCAGTATGGAAAGCTGACCTTTGAAACAAGTCACACAAGGAGTGCAGGGGCTAGCTTTAATCTAGAATGCTGCTCCTGAAAGTGTTCAGGAGTCCCAATTCTGTATTAAAGGAAGGTCTGCATTCTTTATGTACCGCGTTCTCAAAAAGAATAACTTTTCTTTCTTTCTTTTCCCTTTCTTTCCTTTTTTGGCTGCGGCTGTAAATGCATTAGCAGCGGTTGGCAGAGGAATGTAGCTTCAGGAGCACAGGTGTTGCCCACCCTTGGACTGCAAATACAAACTATCCAAGGATGAAGATAAGCATCCAAAAGCAATTAAATATAGGAACTTCAAAGGCTTCTCTCTTTTTTCTAAGAATGTGTGGTGTTTATTCCAGAAGAGTGTAATAGGTTAATACTGAGCATACAGTTGTTAAATATAAGTAACTACTCAGGAAGCAAACGCAAAACAAAAGATTTTTTTAAAAAATACAGAAAATGAATCTTACTGCTTCAGGAAATCTATTCAGAGATACTACGGTGGGGGTGGTGAGGGTGGGGGAAGAACCCTAAGCTTGCCTACAGAAACGAGAAAGGCTGGCTTCTGTGTAAGAGAGTGTGCTGGTAGCCATCACATGTGATACCTCTTTCAAACAAAGGGGAATAACTGCCCCTCCCAAGAAGAACAAGAAGGAAGTAAACGCTTGAATATTGCAATTTGCACATCAAGTAATTACTTCAAAAAGACAGGAGGAGAGAAAGATACCTGCGCCCAGCTGGCGGTGAATCTTGTCTATTCCCACCTCATTCCCACTAATTTGTGTACTCTACACCTACAGTAGTGCTTTAACTTCCAAGGTTTCTGACACATTTTAAAAAATCTAGGTTCTAATTTTGACTCGGTGCCCCCTCAGAATAAGTGTATACGGTCATCAAAGTAGCTATGTTTCTAATCCCTGCTAAAATACTTAATTAAGAATTCTGCCCCTCTTGTTACTCTTTACATTTTTTAAAATGTATATTTTAATAACTCTTCCCCAACGTGTATCCCACTCTCATTTTTCACTACAGCTGCAGGGTAAATAGAAGTATAACATATTAAATAAAAATTAAATAATAACAATCTCAAAGATTTCTAAGGCATTACAAATTTCAATCCCACTCTCATTTTTCACTACAGCTGCAGGGTAAATAGAAATATAACATATTAAATAAAAATTAAATACGTAATAACAATATCAAAGATTTCTAAGGCATTACAAATTTCAAAAGATTCCAGCATCCAGTCTTTGTCAATGAAGGGTTTATCAATAATGAGATCTAAGGTTGTTCACCATTGGACTTTTTAAAAAAATTCATTTGTCTAGAATTTCAGTTGTTTACTTGGTGGTAAACATTGTTATTTTTCCTTCACTCACAAGCTAATAAATTTGTAGCATGTTTCAAAGATGTTATCTGTCTTCTCTATTCTTTTTTATAATCCTGATTCTTTGTGTCATTGTTGACAAAAGCATTTCCCAGACATAATCTAGCCATACCTTAATACTTACATTCTTATAATCCTTCCAGTGTGTTGATATCACAAGTCTCATTGCTACTCATATAAATGTGATAGTTTTTTATTGTTTTTTTTTCATTAGTTCCCACAAATCAATAGAGAGGGTAGACCTCCACAATATGTGATGTTTTCTCCTGATGCCATTTCCACCTTGCCTCCAATGTTCCTTTTTTGCTGTTTAGTCATTAAATCATGTCTGACTCTTCATGACCCCATGGACCAGAGCATGCCAAGCCCTCCTGTCTTCCACTACCTCTCAGAGTTGGGTCAAATTCATATTGGTAGCTTTGTTGACGCTGTTCAACCATCTCGTCCTCTGTCGTCCCCTTCTTCTCTTGCCTTCACACTTTCCCAACATCAGGGTCTTTTCCAGGGAGTCTTCTCATAAGATGGCCAAAATACTGGAGCCTCAGCTTCAGGATCTGTCCTTCTAGAGAGCACTCAGGGTCGATTTCCTTCAGAATTGATAAGTTTGTTCTCCTTGCAGTCCAGGGGACTCTCAAGAGTCTCCTCCAGCACCACAATTCAAAAGCATCAATTCTTCGGCGGTCAGCCTTCTTTATGGTCCAGCTCTCACTTCCATTGATCGCTACTGGAAAAACCATAGCTTTGACCATGCATACCTTTGTCAGCAAGGTGATGTCTCTGTTTTTTAAGGTGCTGTCTAGGTTCGTCATTGCTTTCCTCCCAAGAAGCAGAGGTCTTTTAATTTTGTGGCTGCTGTCACTATCTGCAGTGATCATGGAGCCCAAGAAAGTAAAATCTGTCACTGCCTCCATATCATCCCCTTCTACTTGCCAGGAGGTGATGGGTCCAGTGGCCATGATCTTAGTTTTTTTGATGCTGAGCTTCAGACCATTTTTGCACTCTCCTCTTTTACCCTTCTTACAAAATTCCTCCTCACTTTCTACCATCAAAGTGGTATCATCTGCATATCTGCGGTTGTTGATATTTCTTCCGGCAATCTTAATTCCGGCTTGGGATTCATCCAGCCCAGCCCTTCACATTATGTATTCTGCATATAAGTTAAATAAGCAGGGAGACAATATACAGCCTTGTCCTACTCCTTTCCCAGTTTTGAACCAATTAGTTTTTCCATATCCAGTTCTAACTGTTGCTTTCTGTCCCACATATAGGTTTCTCAGGAGATAGATAACGTGGTCAGGTACTCCCATTTCTTTAAGGACTTGCCATAGTTTGCTGTGGTCAACACAGTCAAAGAGTTTTGCATAGTCAATGAAGCAGAAGTAGATGTTTTTCTGGGACTCCCTGGCTTTCTCCATAATCCAGCACATCTTAGCAATTTGGTCTCAAGTTCCTCTGCCCCTTCGAAATCCAGCTTGTACTTCTGGAGTTCTCGGTCCACATACTGCTGAAGCCTACCTTGGAGGATTTTGAGCATAAAATGTGAAATGAGTGCAATTGTATGGTAGTTGGAGCATTCTTTGGCACTGCCCTTCTTTGGTATTGGGATGTAGACTGATCTTTTCCAATCCTCTGGCCACTGCTGAGTT